TGGATGTATGTATGTATGTATGTATGTATGTATGTATGAATAAGTATTTATGCATGTATGTATGCATGCATGCATGCATGCATGGATGTATGTATGTATGTATGTATGAATGAGTATTTATGCATGCATGTATGTATGTATGTATGTATGTATGTGTGTATGTATGTATGTATGTATGTATGTATGTATGTATGTTTATATCTATATATCGATATACCTATATATCTATATATCTATATATCTATATATCTATATATCTATATATCTCTATATCTCTTTATCTCTATATCTCTATATCTCTATATCTCTATATCTCTATATCTCTATATCTATATCTGCATCTATATCTCATCATGTTATATGATGTTATATACCGTGCCATTCGCGGGTGCTTTGGCCTGCCCTGGAGGCTGCGAAGACTTCGACCCAGGGGCTTTCGAGGGCCAGGCCGTGTAGAGTCGGACCTCCTGGGCCCGGCGAGAGGTTGTAAAAAGGGGGCGTAGGGTTTAGGGTTTAGGGTGGGTGTAGGGTTTAAGGGTTTAGGGTTTGGAGTTTAGGGTTTAGGGTTTGTTTTAGGTCCTTTAGGGGCTCCTTTTTAAGGGTTCTTCTAAGGATTCCTTCACGGATTCGTTTTAATGGTTGTGTAGGGGCTCCTGTCAGGGTTCCTTTGAGGGGAAGAGGCTTGGCGAGAGATGCGGGAAAGGTTTTTGTAGGGGCTTGTATCGCTACTACCAGTATTGTTACTGTGATCACTATTTCTACGACGGCAGTCATTAAGATGATCCTCATTATCTCATGATCGGAAACAGCACCCCGAGTCTTGTGCGACCGATACTTTTGCCAATCTCAGACGTGCAGACAGTCTGTGTGAAAGCCTGCATGCTTGGATGTTCCACAACTGCCCGCCGCTACAGCAACATTCTTCCACAGCTGCGGTTGTGCGCACGAAAACCTTCGGCGCGGTGCAGACTTGCTGGAAGCAGCATCCGAAGCAGATACCAGCTCCGGCCCAGCGTAGAAATGTATACGTGTTGAGATGGAGCCTTAATTTACGAGACCAGCCCAATCCTGGCACCGATGACGGCCGTCATTAAAAATCCATTATCATGAAAGGCTAAAGTGCATTCTAGCTGCCCTAGCTTTTGAATTCCTTCGCGTTCACATCGTTTTCTAGCTTGTATGTCGCCGGGCTTTGGGCGCCGAGGGCTGTGCAGCCATGTTCGGGGTCTCCGGCAGGCCCGTGACAGATGTGAGATGGTGATCAACTGAACTGGGAGGACCCAGAATCCTGTTCCTTTGCAAAGGTGCAGGGTCAGTTAATGGACCCGCTGTCGACTTCAATGCTGCACAGGTTTAAGCAAAGCTGACTGGTGTAGGCACGTCCCAGGGGAAAATGGCTGTCAGAAACCTAGAGCAGCATTGCAAGGTTTTTACAGTGTAGTGTAGGAGTGTTTCCGCAGCTGTCGGAAAGGGACAAAGGGCCCAGCACACATTGTGTGGAGATCGGAGGCGATATCCGGGAAAATGAGCAAGGCATTGCATGCAGCTGTCTTGCTGTTATTCTCTCGGCTGTATGTTACTTCCCAGGCGAGTCCAGGCTTGCCGAGTCTTTTTCAAGCTGAATAGTCTCGATGGCTGCCGAAGAAAACACGCAGCATGCCTTGAGTGTGTGGAAAGAGCACATGTAGCATGTCCTAGGACAGCACGACGCAGCAGTACCTGCAAAGAAGCGGCCAGCGAGTATAGAAGAGCTGCCGGAGGAAGTACACAACCTGGAAGTAGCCAGTCCATCTATATCCCTTGCTCAAACCTGGTTCTATGCCACAACCAAGCAAGTGAAATGTGCCAGAAGGAAAGTGCACATGAGCCGAGCAGCAAGCAACAAACCTTTGCGAAGCTGGGTATGTATATGTATCTGCGCGCTTTGTTATAAATATGTACGTCTGGGTATGTCTTTCGGTCGGTCGGTCGGTCGGTTGGCCTGTCTGTCTGCCTGTCTGTATTTACGTATGTATGTATGTATGTATGTATGTGTGTCTATACACACAAACATACACACGAGCACACACACACATGAGTGTATGCAAATTTATGCCTTCACCTTGGGCGGCCTGCCGGACAGGTTTGCCAAGTTCAAAGCTCAGCCAAGCAAGGCTTCGTGCTTCGTCCTAAGTGTGCTTCTGGGTTAGAGCGTCGAACCACAGATCCGTCGTGACCTTCTCCTGGCGTGGCGCGGGGGAGTCGAAAGTTTCTTGCGAACTACAGTAAAGTTCAACTGTCCGAAAATTTGCACAGGCCCCCGCAAGCGAAACTGCAATCGTTACTGTAGTCCCAAGTCAATCACCTGGCAGAGTAGAAATCCTGCGCCATGTCGTATGATATGTTGATGCAATTTCATCAGAGGCCTGGCCTTTGATGGCCCCGCCTTTCGTGGCTTTGCGGCCAAGACCTTCTCGAAGGCAGGACCTTGTCTTTTAAGAAGCCGCAATTTCCAGACCCATTCCAGGGATCTGCCGAGTGTTCAGTTGGCGCGTCGTGTGAGGCAGATGAGAAGCAAGCACAGGCAAGTGTTCGCATCTTGCCCAGTCCTCGGTATAGGCACACGCAACATTGCCCAAGCCACCCTTGGTTGGAAGCCCCACATGGACGCTAATCAGCGACTCAGGAAGAGATTTGATTTGATCTACTGCGCTTGCAAGCCTTCCGCCCAGGTGTGCACTCTATGGGGTCACGCCTGCAAAGCTTTGGTTGTCTCCCTTCCCGGGACATGTGTTCCCTACTTCGCTCGTGATCCTCCAGATATCAAGTTCACAACAGGAGCTTAACGGTCGTGTCGCCCTTTTCGCCAGGTCTTGAAGCCTTACGATCTGATCAGGCCTCCTGGAGGGGGGCTTCATGCACTGGCGCGAAGCTCCACGAGCTTTGGAGGCCATACCGCCTGGAGATGACCTCGAAGCTTCGAGGCTGGGTGACTGTTGTCCAAATACCAGCACACTCCCCAAAAGTTCCAGGAAAGACCATGTACGATGTCTGGGGTGACACGATCACCGATGCCCTGGCGAAGGCGGGACTCACATGTTCGCGGAACTTTTCTTCCAGATTCTGGTCTTTTCCAAAGGAGCTCAAGTTGAGCAAGGCCAAATTCTTGGTGAACTGTGCCTCTCAGGAGACGCGCATGTGGGGGGGTGTCATTCTCCTAGGTTGCGGAGGCTTCGAAGGCCGAGGAACGACCTGCTTGCCTCAGCAGTGGGGATCACCAGTAGCCTTCAAGGACACCCAAAGTCGTGAGCATCGGCCGCCGCAGAGCTCGTCCATGTCAGCACGGCGACCTGAGCGCCTGTCACTGCCGCCGCCAGGAGTTCTGGAAGGCAGTTCGACCCAAGAAGCTACCATCAAGCTGCCTTCTCGGACCATCGGAATCGGACTCTGGATGAGCAGTGTTTTGTAGCTAGAAGCATGCAGCATCTTCAGCACCACGTTGGCCACAGCTAGGAAGGCCTCCAGGATGACGGCTAGGCACCTTGGGTGATGGTAGTGTAGCACAGTGGATGATGGGTGATGATGGGGGTGTGTGCCCAGTGTTGAGCCAAGGGTGGTGGAAGGTGATGATGTCAATCGCGTTCATGGTGAAGGCGAAGACATGAATACTGTACTGATGATGACAATGACGATGATGATGATGACGACGATGATGATGATCGAGGCTTAGTTGCATGAGGCCAGATCCACTCTCGAAAACGTAGATGCAGACTGGGGCATCGTAGGAGTCAAAGGAGACGCTGAAGACAAGACAACATGCCGGCTGTCTCCCAAGGCGTGCAAGTGGTTAGCTGCGAATTCTCCGGGCCCTCCAGCTTGGTGAAGCAGGTGCCCCCTTTCACTGGAGGCATAGTCTGAGCAGTCATGCGATGAACCCTCATTTTCTTCAGCCTCCACTTCAGTCCTTGATACCTCCATGTGCCAGACTTGCAGGCGCGCGGCGCCATGTGCAAGTACATCGTTCAGAAGCGCATCAAAAATCCGGCCGACTTGAAGAAGTTTACAGGAGTCTCCCCGTGCATGATCTTCAGAAGTTTGGATATCAGTTTAGCTCTATGCCAGCTGCGCACGTTGCCAGCGAAGTAATTTTGCCGACACGGCGATGAGAAGAGCAGGATGACCGCAGTGACACTCCAGCTGTCGCCCCCTACTACATGACTCAACCGCCTTATGCACAGCATGGTCTGCGGATAATTTACGATGAGACTCCGACATTGAAATTGTTTCATTAGACCCCAGACCGTGCTTTCACGCAGGAGATGCGAAGAACAGGCAAGCTCGAATGAACTGCAGCAAGTCTTTGCATTCTGTCCTGGCTTTCAGTTTGCAGGTTTGCTTTCAACGCTGCAAAGTCCAGCAACAGCAAGCTCGTATTCACTCGTGGAGGCCGTGGAAGGATGCAGGATTTTGTGGTAGGAATGGTGTCTAGCGGCCTAGCGCTTGACCGCCGTGTCACGATGTTCGGAGCCTATCTGCGAACCGGTTGGCTCGAGCATTTATATTGCAGTGTGGTGGTGACGGCAACTGCTGAGCCATGGCAGAGCACAAGGTGGGAGGCATGGCGTCTCTCGCCACCGGCCAAAGCACTAAGTCTCCTGCAACAGTTGAGATTGCTGTGACAAACCGCACACGGTCTCGCGGGCAAATTCAGAGAGTGAATTGCCTGGATGGCGATGAATTCCGACGGCTTGTTCGAAACTTGCATGGCCTAAGTAGCGAAGACGGCGGAGACAGTGTCGATGGCCCACCAGTCTGTCGGACTTTCGGCATCGTGCCGGACGGCTGCAGCTCGTTTCAGCCTTGCGGCGGCCAGGAGGCTCGTGGAAGTTGGACCAGTTCTGGTCTCTTGGCAGCATGAGCTGCTTCTAGGTCCTGTCTAGGTCTAGGCCTTCCCTGCACGTGTCGCAGAGAGCTGCCGGAGTTCAGAATCCAATCACCACGGCACAGCCGGAAGTCGAGTCACTGCATGTTCCACGAGGTGTGCCTGCTGCCACGGGCCTGAAGCGGCGCCTTCATTTGAAGGCCACGCTTGTGGTGCGGTTGGAGCGGTTGAGCTTAGTAATTTCTCGCCTGCAGCCCCTGGAGGCTTTGTCAGCAAGAGCATGGATCAGCCGATTTTCACGGAGCTCTGCCAAGGTCAGCGACTCTCAAGGACGGCCTGAGCTGTGTGGAGCAGGTTAGATTCAGAGCTGTTGGGATCATGGTGCGAACTGCCACAATGCGGCAATTTGGCTCCCGACATTGGCCAAGACAGGAGCCACGCACTGACGTCCAGCAGACTTCGACAGGTCTTGTCGAATGCATCCGTAGGTTAGTGTCACAGAATCGGGGCCTTCCGAGATACTCTGTGTCTCGCAAGCCCTGGGTGCTTTTCGTGCTGCGAGCATTAGAGCGTCATGCTCTCGTATAGCATCGAATATATCCAGATTTTTCACTTGAGGCCCCAACCACTGACGTGATCGGGAAGGATGATGGTAGTCATATTCAAATCCCTCTGGTATGCCACGATTAGTGGGGTGGGGTCTAAGCCAATCAATCTCATTTTTTGTCTTGACGGACATTGGTCAAAAGTGTGTCTAGTTGCGGAAATTTCGCCTGCCACTTGGCCATGTAATCTTGTTTTTCCCTCGCCACGCAGCAGGCATGGACAGCGAGGGTAGACGACTTGCCAGCCGAGAAAAGCATCCGTTGATATTGCTTTCGCTTCGGAGAACAGAAGCAGATCTGCGCACTGCGCTGTCACTCATATCACTGTATTCGACCCTGTTTCACCAGGCGCAACGAAGAGGAAATCCATTGAGGCCAGCATCAGTCCGGGTGAAGTTGAGCTCTGAGCATCTGGACCCATGAGGCACTGTGGCCCAAGAAACGCAGGCGGACGTGAGCCTGGCTTTCTTACGGCAAGGGTCTCAAACCCCGCTCTGAAGCTCATCCGCTTTTGAACGGCTTTCCGAGTTCTGCGTTGTGTAAGGCCGAGCTTCTGCGTTTGGTCCTGACGGGCTTGCCATGCTGCTTCGTCGGTCTGCTGGGAGGGCAAAAAGTAGTGCCTTGGCGTGAGTGTGTGTACAGCTTCTTCATGTGGTCAAACGGATGCCCCCATACCTCCTCCGAACAGAAGCACATCGCAGCATTAGTGCCGGAGAGACCATCTCCTTCTGGCCGCCAGGAGGAAATATGCTCTTGAGGAAACGCACATGCGCGTCCTCTAGGAAATCTGCAAGCCATGCGCAACTTTTTTGGGAGAGAATCCCGGAAACCCCGCGTCAGACCTCGCCCCACGCTGTAACTCTGAAATCAGGCCGAGCCTGAGGGTTAGCATGAAGGACGCGTTGATCCAATGGCTTCATCCAGAACTGGCCTATTTTCACCTCGTCTCCAAGAGAAACATAATTAGTGCATTTGGACCCGCAGCTTCTTGGCACAAACGAGTTGTAGGGGTCATTGGTAATGGACTGGGGCCACTTGGCTGCAGCAGCGCCAGTTTACACAGGCGACATCTGTCATTCAGCCCCTGAAAGGCATGTCGGACAGCAGCCGCTCTTCGTCTCCTGGGCACTGCTCTCGGCATTGCCTATCTCTACATCTTGTAGATGAAGCCTCAGATGCGGCCCTAGCCTCTGCCAAGAACATGTTTGATAACTTGTTCTTGGTGGCTTGTGCCAGGATGGCCACGCCGCAGATTCCCAGCTTTCGAACAGAGGAGCTGCTGGAAGCTCAGCTGCGTGGGTGGGCGCAGAACGGCGCATCTCGGCGCAGCCAAGGAAAAGCTCCTGTCTGGAGCCTGGTCAGGCCAGGGGGGTTGCGACTGTCTTCATGGTCCGGGTCTGGACACGGACTGCAGGACACTCTGCGACGAAAGCTCTTTGACAACAATGACGACGAGACCTGGCTGCACGGTTTGACATCGGCTTAATCCAAGCCGCTCTGAGAGCCTTTCTCATCGCAAAACTTGCCTTGCCCTGCGCCAGTGCACCGGGCCTGGTGCGACAGTGCGTGCGAATGCCTGGCGTGAAAGCCACGGAGGCCCGCTGCCTGCAGACAGTGCGGGCATGCGCCAAGCGTTTGTTGCTGACGAGTTCCATCCTCGCCGAAAGTCTTGTTTCAGACGGAGACGATGGGTTTGTTGAGCTGTGGAGCGCATGCAGTCTCGGCCCTCGAACTCTCGCTGCTCTTGCTGCTCTTGCTCTGACAGGTTCTGGCGCTGCCCCCGAGCAGGTTGGAACTGCTTGAGCTCATGACTGCGCACATGTGGTGGATTGTCACTTCCCATCTTTTTGTGACGCTTTGATTTACGCTAAAGGCGGATTCAAGCAGGAAGTGCCAGGGAGTGCCAGGGATGTCCGGATTGCGCATCGAGGCGGACCTGGTCCAGGAACTAGCGAGATCCCGGGAGCTCCTCGAGAAGGACATGGCGAGATCCCCGCTTTGGAATGTGAGACGGCTTCTGCACTTGGGTGAGGGTGTTGTGTGTGTGTGTGAGTTGCCTATGAGTTGACAGATCAACAGCTTCATGGCATGTTTTCAGCCTGCAATTCAGCAGGAGCGCAGTATGACTCAAAAAATCGTGGCCATGTCCTCGGATGTGGCAGCATGGAAACGAGGCTTCTGTCCTAGGTCCTAGGCTTTTGTTATTCAAGCGTCTTGTTACGGCGATCTGAGGCTGAAAGAACGAGTCTTCGTGAGCAGGCTCACGAGCTCCTTTGGGCGCGGCGATTGCAATCTGCTAGTTGGCCTTGAACAGGTGACAAAGCTTCAGTGTGACCTGCAGGCTCGGGTTTTCATGGAGAGATCGCAAGTGGGTTTCATGCATCGCAGACTTGCATAGGCAGCTCGAAAGCAGCATGAACTTGACGATGTGGTCTCCGTCTGAGCTCTGTGAGAACTGTTCGTACAGATGGCGAGACGACGAGCTTCGTGGCAGTTACACATCGATGCCGAAGCGTCGAGTGCAAGTTGCCCAGCTCAGCCCGAGGCCGTGCATCAGATGGCATCGCACCTGGCAGAGTCCAAGCGCCGGGAGGAGACAGGGGAGCTCAGACCTGTGCTGTCGGCTGTGACGGGATGGCTGGACTGCATACGGCGGAATCCTCGTGCAAACTTCAGTGGGCTGAAAAGGCGCCGACTAAGCTCCCCCGATATACTTGGTTTCGATAGCTGGATAGATGGGAACGAACTTCAAAAAAGACAAAACGAGACAAAACCGGTCCCGAGTTTACAAGCTTACCGTGGCGTTTCAGGACGCAGCGAGGTTGCAAGTGGAGCGGCTGTCGGCGGCCCTTGGAGTGCTTCAGGCAGGGCGCAGCAGTCCGCATGAAAGCTACAGTAGGTCATTAAAATGGGGTTGTGTGGCCACATGGGTGAGGCATCCATGGCATCGGTGGTGCGGAACTCTGGGGTGGCAGCACACTTGGACTTCTCCAGTGAACTGCTTCAGCTAAAGCTCAGCCACCGCAGGACACTGTAACGGATCCTTGAATTACAACTTCAGCTGCAAAGTGTTTATGAAGACGTCGAGGCTCGGGGACACGAGCTGCCACAGGACGATGTCGCACTGGCCGTGCGCTGAACACGCTTAGCTGTTCAGAGAGATGCTGATGCCGTGTAATGCGACGTAGTGGCTCACTCCTCCATTCTCGGCCAATGGCAGGCCCTGAAGGCCGGCCTGTGCGGAGCTGAGAGCTCCAGGGACTCCCTTCGGCCCTTACGAGTTCGCAGAACCGTGCATGGCTCCAAAGAGTCAAGGTCGGCAGTTCAGGCGGAATCCATACCTCCGGAGATGATTCTGGCACAGGCCGGTTGTGGTACGAGTGACAAGGGTGGCAATGGAACACATCTCAAGAAAACACGCAAACGAAGTGACACAACTGCCGTCTTTAAATGCCACCACTTGTGCTGAGCAGCCTCGTCACCACCAGGCAGACCTTCCTAGACGTGCTTAGGGAAGGAATGCCTCCTTTCTCAGTTCTCCACAGGAATCATGGTAAAGCATGGAGTCTTTGCCCGGACTGGTGGTCCAGGCATCGGCGACACAGACGGACTTGGAAGCAATCACTACCAACCAGGAGCGAAGAAATCGATGGTGTCCTACACAGTGCTGGCGCGGCCTGATGCGTCTTGTTCCCCAAAGACGCCAGACCATCGACAGATCTCTCCAGGCCTGCACACCGAGACCCGCTGACAAGTCTGATTGGGCTCGTAGTCGTGTCGCGCTAGTATGCTTTTGGGAACCTCTACGCCCGCAGCCAGACCGCCACGCGAGTTGTTATGAGAGCGCATGTCTTGCCTGCAGGAAGACCCCTCCCTGCAGCATGTCCAGGTGCCCCGGCTTTTACAAAGGTGTGCGGGAGTGTGGTGAGGTCCGGCTTATGGATCTCCGTCTGCTCGTAGGAATTTGCCTTGCGCACTATTGCTTGACGCTACGAGGGCTGGTGGTTTTCCGTAGAAAGCGCGAGAAAGCCTGTACCAGCTTCACACGCGGCCCTGGGGAGGCGTCCTTGTCAGAGCTTCGCTGTCAGATGGAGAAGGCTCGGGCTGGACACATGAAGTCTCGTGGCAACGACAGGCCCTGTAGCTGGCACTTGGTGAAAGGGAGTACCTTCTCCTGACATCTTCGTGGCCTCGTCTGCGCTGGGCGGCAGGCGGCTCCTTCTGCAGCCCCTCGCGCAGAACCAGGTGTGTGGCACAGCTGCCGGTAGTAGAAAAACGTAGGGGCCTTCTGCTGCCGGGCACGTTACCCTTCGGGTCAAGCTTCGCACCGTGTCTCTTTCAAGTTTGACAAGTCCCTAAGACCAATCTCTGTAATTACAGAAAGCTGGACAATGCTGGACACATGCAAATAAGCGTGTTTCAGGAGCTTGCTCTTCTTTGTCGATTTGTATCTTCAGCGACAGCAGTATCAGCATGCCGAGCGTTTGCAGTGGTCTAAAGAGCTCAGGCGAGCAGCCCTCAGCTGCGGTTCCCGCGACCTTAGAGGCCATTTGCTGGTGGATCCTTCGCCCTTCCCCTCTTTCCGGTGCCATTCCCAGGAGTGTGGGATCTTTCTGGCCCTTAGGCCTGGGTCCTTGTTGGATACAATTTTACATAATAAAAAGCCCAGTAAGGAATAACTATGATCATGTTAAATATAGCCCCAACAAGGAACCAGAGGCCGTATTGGTCCACTCTTCGGAGTCCCTTTTTTTATTACAACGTGAAGAGCATTGAGCACCTTTCTCCGCGGCCGGAGGCTGGCCGGTCGGAAAGGCCTGCGAAGCCTCGATGGGCCGGGCTCTGAGAAAGAGGGCTCCCACAATCAGTATATTAAAGTATGTTTGTATAGTCTGTTATTAGTATATTATAATATATTATGGTATATTCTAGTATATTCTAGCATATTATCGTATATTAGTTACCACATAAAGGCAGCCGTAGGCAGCAGAAGTTAACTGTGGTTGGTGCCGCCGAGCTTCTCCCCCACTTTCCAGGCTGGATTGGCCTTAGAGTGATCTTGTGACCATCCTCGCTTTAAATGTTTGTCCTCTCCAGCGCTCGATGCCCGCTCGTCTTGTTGGTCTCTCTGTCTTTCTCAGTCTGCCTTGCTGCCCCGCCTTTGTCGCTTTCCCACACCCTGCCTGATACAAGTTGTGATGCAATGCAATATCTGGTTGCGGAGTCGCGAGGCTTCGCCTGCAGCAACAGTGTTTGAGCAGAACACGGTCGCCAGCTAGATAACCGCTCACACATGTTACACAACGAAGCCAGTTCTTGGCCCTGCGAGGATGGCTACTACCTTTCGTCACCTCCGACAGCGACAGCGCGTCGTTCGCGCAACACAGCAGGCGACGGCTAAGGATTTGTTGGGGGCCTGTCCATTCCCGGCCTGGACCTGGATTCACCGGGATCGCTGCTGGTGGTTGAAGGGAGCAGACTTCAGCGTCGGTATGTTTGAAGACCACAATCCTTCCACCTTCGAAGTCTTCTCCTGTTTTGGTGTTTTTTGGCTACCGGCTCTGAAGACTTGTGTTTCTAAGCTGCCCTAAACCCTACTCAGCAGGCCTTCGCCTAACATGCCTGTCGTGCAGTCGATTTATTGCAGAATCGGTGCGTTACGTCCGAATAATGCACAGAATCCTAAGCCACCTGTCCAATAATGCAGACTGCATATTGCACCTCCCGACCCCTTAACACGGCAAGCAGAGGCTAACCCCCGACCTGACATTCTGACCCCCCACCCTACACTTTTACCCCAATTCTCAACCTGCGCCCTAAAATCAACCTCAAAAACCGCTAATACACAAAGCACCACCCAAAAACCCAACCAAACCAAAGCAACCTCCCATACTCCCGACCTCAACCCGAAACCTTCCATAAACCCAAAGAGCTTCTGTATTTCGGGTTTCTGGTTTTATGGGTTTTTGGTATTGTGTGTTGTGACGTGTTGTGAGGTCGGGGGTAAGGGGTGCTCTCTGGGTTTATAGAAGGTTTCGGGTTGAGGTCGGGGGTATTAGCGGTTTTTGAGGTTGATTTTAGGGGGCGGGTTGAGAATTGATTGCGGCAAGAGTGTACAGTGTAGGGTGGGGGTCAGAATGTCAGGTCGCGGGTTAGCCTCTGCTTGCTAACACATGAGGGATTCTGCAAAGCTCTTTGCAGGCTCAACCCCCGCGAGAGAAGCTATGGAGTCGCAACGAGTTTGCAATAGTCAGTGAACTGATTCGAAGAGGAGACTTCGGCTTTTCTTCGCACGGGGCAAGCCGTGCTCTTCTTTCGCAGGCGACTGTCTGATTGAGCCAACTTTGCAGAACAAAGGCCAGCAACTGGAAGACAGCGGCTGGATGACGACGATGTGGCCGGTGCACCCTGCCTGGCGACTACCGTGGAACAGTAGGATGTCAGGAGAAAGCTGAAGCATGAGAGTTCTTGGGCACCTGCTAGGCCTGCTCATCCGGAATTGACGACACAGCATAGAATGATTAGTTTGTTTCCCAACTTGCCAGGTTCATTGGATGATGGCCTGCCGCCGCCACCGAACACCAAATGCAGGGAGCTTCGTCAAAGCGGCAGTAGGCATTTCAGGTATTCAGGCATGCGCTGTGCGCCTTCGTGCACAAAAGAGGTTGGGAGTGGCCACTTTCCAAGCCCGAGAAGCAGGAACGCGTAGCAGGCTCCTCGGGCACCTCAGATATGATCTCTGCAGTGCCAGCGGACCCCGAATTCAAACGGACTCCTGCGCGCGTGCTCAGGCGATGATCGAGGGGCAGCTGTGGCCGGGGCCCCGAAGGCAAAAGCTCGCGGAAACAAGTGCGTCGCGCAGAGTGAGGCGATATGACCAGTCGGGGCTCATCGAGCAGGCTTCGCATCCCCTTGCACGAGCTTTGGGTTTAGAACAGAGCCCGTCGCTTCGCTTGAAAGACCCTTGACAGCTCTGCAGCTGCGGGCAAGTGTTGTGTTGACGAGACATTCTGCAAACCAGTAAATTGCCCACACGGCTGTGTCGTGCTTTTTTTCTGGAAAAGCGAGATTTGTTGTTTGATGCTTCATACGAGGCTGCGCTCTGCAAAGACCTGTCGACAGCAAGCATCTGATTCGCTGCATAATTTCAGTACTCACCCTGAGCATGTTGCCTCTATGCCAGCTGTAAGTTCACATTAATTGCTGCCTTAGCAAACTTGCAGTGACAAGTTTGAGGGCATGCGGACAAATCCCTGTGTTTGAAAAGCCGGAAAGCAAGCACGGCAGAAGCAAGTTCATCGGCCTTGTAAAGCAGGTTGAAATGCTGGAGGGCATATGCGTTGAAGCCTCAGCTAATGCCACAATCGACGCGGGAAGATGAGCGTCCCTTCGGTCAGCTCTAGCAGAGACTCTAGCAGAGACGATTCACCGAAGCAGGTCGGACAAGTCAACGAATAATACCTCAGCGTTTCAGACGAGCAGCGGGTCTGGAGCGATTCCCCACTTTCTAGGCTTAAACTGACATGGTTGGGATCCCACGAAGAAGCAGAAGCTTGTTTTCTACCTTGCCTCGACGACACGTCCCCGAGGCTCAGCATGGCCTCTTGCCGGCAGCAGAAGAGGCTCGCAGCAGTTCCCTGCATCCCCCAGGCTCCGGAAAACTCCAAGAGTTAGTTTATAATATAATATAATATAATATAATATGATATAATATAATATAATATGATATAATGCAATGTAATATAATGTAATATAATGTAATATAATGTAATATAATGTAATATAATGTAATATAATGTAATATAATGTAATATAGTGTAATATAGTGTAATATAATGTAATATAATGTAATATAATGTAATA